GTTCCATTGTTCAGTAGCCACATGTGGCTAGCGGCTATGGTATTGGATAGCATAGAATAGAACCTCCCAATCATTACAGAAAGTTCTATCAGACACCTCTGAGTTACAGTACTTCATTATTTCTTCTTCTTCTTCTTCTTCTTCTTCTTCTTCTTCTTCTTCTTCTAATAATAATAATAATAATAATAATAATAATAATAATAATAATTTTTTCCCTACCTTACCTAATCTTCAAAATGCACAGGGGAAAAAATACAACAAATCAATAGTGTTCAAGGCAAGCCACACTCAGTAAATAGAAGGCATGCATAAAACAAAATTTAAAAAGCTGACCTTGTGAGAGAATCATGTTATAATCTGCTCCTTCTCTCCATTTAACCAAATTGCATCCATTTTTCTAGTCCCAGATCCAAGATCTCATCTTCCTCCTTTCTCAGGCCACTCTTGTCCACAGAGGCTTTGCCTTCCTCATAACAGCTATGGCTATACCTTCCACTGAAAGTTACTATTGCAATGCACTGGGAGCACTTTTGTGTCTGCACACCATGCTCTGTGGACTTGTGGAGAGGATCTGCCACCACAGTACCCATTCTAGAATTGAAGCCCACGAGGCAAGAAATGCAACTCCGATTGCTCACTCTGAAACCATGTAGTCAGCACTTGGAACCTGCTTATTAAAGAAATAAATAACTGTTGGCATAACTCTGTGCAGTCTTTTGTTCAAGAAGATGATACTATTGAGTTAATATCAGCAAAATAAATGTTTTAAGGTCTTTGGAGGGGGGAGGAGGTATATGAGACCATCCCCACTCTCTTGCCCTAAAGCGGCAAACAGTTGTGAAGTACATTGTTGCGCAGGGCTCAGGTCTGTAGTCAAGGACAAGTCTCAGTTTCCAGTCAAGGTAAGGAGCAATCTGGGAGGCAAAGGTCTGACTCAGTGTATTGTTGGGGACAGAGGTAAGATAGCTCAACTATGTGAAGACACTCTCATCAGCACTCTGCACAATCTATTCAGTTCTGCCTTAATGTCCAATGTCATTACTACCAGTTTAGTGTCCTGTGTCATTTCTGTCCTCTGGGTTCGAGTGAGCAATGTGGTATATTATAAAGAACAGAGCTTTTGGAATTTCAAATAACTAAATTCAAATCCTGCCCCTTAATCTCATTCATTAGCTGTGTGAATTTGGGAAAGTTATTTAACTTTTCCAAGCCTCAGTTTCTTTATCTGTTAAATTACAATAATAATAGTACATATCTTATTATGGTTGGGAGATTAAATGACATAACGCATGTAAAATATTAGCGAGGTTCCTAGCCCATGGTAGTTGCTTTTTATATGTGAGTTGTCTACTCTTCCTCATATGTTCCCCTGACCCTACTACATTTGGGATATGTCTTCTGGCCTCTTGGAACTGATAAAGAAAGAAAGGCTCTATTAATGCCCTGCTCCATGTATCTTGTCTTCTTAGTAGCCTTCAAAACTGCTCCCTGTCGAAATGTAACAAATCTTCCTAATACATAGAAGCAAACACAGAGAGGCAACTAAAATTAGAAAACAAATAAACATGGCACAAATGAAACAAGAGGAGAAAACTCCAGGGTGGGGTGGGCGGGGGGGACTAAATCTACCAGATACAGAGTTCAAAACACTGCTTATAAAGATGCTCAATGAACTTAGGGGAAGAATAGATAATCTAATCTCAGTGGTCAACAGAGAGACAATAAGCATAAAGGACACAGAAACAATAAAAAAGAACCAGTCAGAAATGAAGAATACAATAATTGAAATGAAGAATACACTAGAAGGAATCAACAGTAGACTAGATGAAGCAGATAAATGAATCAGTGATTTGGAAGACAAGGTAGAAGAAAATATCCAATCAGAACAGCAACAAGAATAAAGAATACAAAAAAAATGGCAAGAGTTTAAGGGACCTCTGGGATAATATCAAGTGTACCAACATTTGCATCATAAGGGTACCAGAAGGAGAAGAGAGGGAGCAAGTAATTCAAAATTTATTAGAAGAAATAATGACAGAAAACTTTAACATTGTGAAGGAAATAGACGTACAAGTCCAGGAAGAAAGAGTCCCAAACAAGAGGAACTGAAACAGACCTACACTAAGACACATCACAATTAAAATGCCAAAGGTTAAAGACAAAGACAGAATCCTAACAGCAGAGAGAAAAGCAGCTGCTCGTTACTTACAAGCGTACTCCCATAAGAATGTCAGCTGATTTCTTTATAGAAACCTTGCAGGACAGAAAGGATTAGCATGAAATATTCAAAGTGACGAAAAACAAGAACCTACAATGAAGACTACTCTATCAAACAAGGCCATCAATTAAAATTGAAGATGAGATAAAGAGCTTCCCAGACATGTAAAAGCTACAGGAATTCATCACCA